AAGGGAAGCGTGCTGCCAAGTAATTTCCAGAGGTCTAAAAACATGTCACTAACATGATTTTATATATATATATATATATAAATATTATATATATATATATATATATATATTATAGAAACATGTTGGACACATGTTTAGAACATGTTTTACACACTGTAAGCACATCTTCAATTCAATGAGAGGATTGTTAGAGTGTCCATTATCATGGCATCCGCAAATCTACGGCACAGGGGGTCCCTTCGTGCGGGGCCAGGACGAGGAGGAATCCGTTCCCGAGCGTTCCGGCGCGCTCTCCGAGCGCTCCAGCACGCCCCGGGAAGCCGCGGCGCCCTTGACGTCCTCCAGAGCCGCCGGCTCTCAGAGGTTCTCGAGGTGTCCTCCCCCGGGATGTTGTCCTCGTCTTGGCTTCGTCTCATGAGAGGCTTCCCCTGGCGGCAGGCTTTTTCACCGCCTCGGTGCGGAGGGGCGCCGAAGAGGCGCGGGCGGGCCTGGCCGAAGGGGCCCGCGCGTTCGGGCCCTCGTAGGCCGCGGCGCGGAATGGGGTTGAGCGCTGGGGGCCGAGCGCTGGGGGTCGAGCGCTGGGGGCCGATGCGGGCAAGATGTATGTCCATCTCCAGTGCGTCTTGGGCTGTCCTGGAAGGGGCGCCACGAGGCCGAGGGACAGGTTTTTGTCCACAGCCAGTGTGCCTCCAGTGTGCCTCGAGTTTCTGGGGAGGGAGCCTGGAACTCCAAACTTCTGTGAATATGAACAGAATTATCGCCCGCGAAATATACACCGTCACCGCCTCCCTCACCCCGTCCTTCTCCCAGGAGAGAGGAGAGGGAGTCGAGGCTGGAGGAGGGAAGGAGGGATGAAGGCGTTGACGGTGTATATGCTTGGCACCCACACCTCCTGGCTGGGGGCTTGCGAGAAAGGGGGCCCAGAGATGCGAGGCTCCGACAAAATCGAAGCGACCAGTTTTTGGCTATTTTCGGCCCCTCGGGGTCCTCAACGGGCGCCAGGGCCGTCAAAATATGACTCAGGACGAAAAACCAGTCCCAGGGCTCCGAAATGGGTGTGGTATGTTGTTATTTACGGTAGCCGCAAGTGCGCTGCATTCCGAATTCAACAACGCTGGCTCTGCGTCGACCGCTTCAAACAAAGTCAGGATGTATACATCCAAGGATGTCTAAGTCCAACTTCCCCAAACGACCGCCGTCCAATCTGAACGGCGACACGAAGGCCCATTCCGTGACGCCCTGTCGCCAGGCACGTGATTCCGCATATTTCGGAACTTCAGTAATTCATTGTTCTGACTCCGTCGTTTCGGAATTTTCAGGGTCATGGTTTGTTTTGGAACAATATCAGTTTTAAATAATGGAATTTCCGGGATGAGATACGGGAATTCCAGAATTACGCTTGTTCGCGATTCGGAATTTTCGAAATTGCGTGCTTGGTAGTCGGGCGTCTTGGAACAGGCTTTTGCGCTGCCGTTCACATCGGATAACGGTCGTCTGGGGTAGGTGGACTCAGGAATTCTGACCTAGCTTGAGGCGGTTGGCGCAAAGCCAATGTTGCTGCCATCGGGATGCAACGTCCTTGCGACCATCGTAGATCGCATCGCCATGTTCAGCACTGGCACCATCCCCTTTCATATCAGACCCCTTTGCGACCTCCATTCCGTCCAGATCCCCGGAGACCCACGCATCGAAAAAGTTGGAGCGCCGGATGTCTGGGGATCATTCCTAGATCTCGGGGGTGGACAGAACCCCCACCATGACACGTCGATTAGTGAATTGTCTGTTTTCGGTTCTCGAGAGGGCGCCGCGGCCGTCATTTTCCAGGCTTGCGCCCGCCAGGTTTGGGCCCGAGGTCGTTTTCACTGAACCACGTTTTACTGAAGGGGGTCATGTCCATCCCCGAAGATCTCCGACGGTAGGATGTCTTCAGCCCAGATCTCCGAAGGTGGGATCTCTTCCGCGGCGGTTTTGCGTCGATTTGGGCCCCTGGAGGCCCGTTCTCGGGCCCCTGGGGATCCCCAGGGCAACAAAAGTTGCTTGGGGGGAGGGGTCGGGGACCTCCTGGGGCCGTGGATCGGACAACGACCCGATCGGCGGAGGCTGAACAGCTCACGCACGCGGTGTTTGACGCGCAGGGGTCCGATTTCTCCCTCCTCCTCCTCCTCCTCCTCCTCCCCTCTTCCTCCTCCTCCTCCTCTTCCTCCTCCTCCTCCTCCTCCTCCTCCTCCTCTTCCTCTTCCTCCTCCTCCTCCTCCTCCTCCTCCTCTTCCTCCTCCTCCTCCTCCTCCTCCTCCTCCTCCTCCTCTTCCTCCATACCTCCGGTCCCGGGCCCCGAACGTCCCGATCCTTCCTCCCCTGGGTCGGCCAGCTTTGCCTCCCGAGCCGCCGTCTTCCTCTGAGGGCCCCGCGGCCCAGCGAGGGCCCCCTCGGAGGCGGGAAGGACGACGGAGGCCCTGCCCCCACCGACCTCTCCAGTGCGTGGGAGGCCTGGGAGAGCCAAGGGCCGACGCTGGCACGCCAGGAGGGGCGCGCCGTGAGTGGCCAGCCTGGCCCAGCGTGGCGTCGGCACCCTGCCCTGGAGGAGCGGGCGCGGGGGTCTCGGCCCCCCCGCGGGGTGCCGCGGGGGCCGCGTGCGCCTGGTGTTCTGGGCCCAGCGATCGTGCAGGATCTGACCGGAAGGTTGGCACGGGTCTCTTCGGTCGGCCACGTGCGGGCACTAATGGTGAATCGGCGGCAAGCGAGGGGGGGGGAGCTGATATGGAGAAGGCCCTCTCAGAAGACGGCGGGACTTTTCATAAGCCCCCGCGCTTTCCGAGAAGTTTTCCGTGCCTTCGGGGCAGGCTTAGAACATTTTTCAGCAGGCTGTATACGCCTTCCTGGCTTGGCCAGGAGGGCGTGGCGTGTACACCGCTGCCGGTCTCAGGATGGGCCTGGCCAGGGAGCAGTGGCCATGTATATATTTCGTCGCCCCAGTGTGGGCAATATTGTGAAGGCCTTGCGGCTGGTGCCGCTAGGAGGAGAGGCAGATGAGCACCAGGGTCCAGCCAGGTTGAATTGCGACAGTGCCGGGGTCCGAAAATGATGGGAGGCTCGGAAGCCACAAGGAGAGTAGCTTCGCGAGGGCATGGCGGAGCATAATCCTTGGGTTTTTTCGGTCGGCCGCGCCAGCAACATTCACGTAGCACCCCGCAATTGCGGATAAGAGTGAGGGGGCGGGCGGGTGGATCGCGGTGTGGGTCGCGGGTAGGTCGCGGGTGAGTCCTGGGTGGGTCGCGGGGGTGACGACGACAACAACAAAACAACGCAACGCAACAGCAACAAGAATCCGTGCAGCGGAATCACACTTCAGCCACGCACCCAGGGACAATGAATGGGCGTTCGAACCCTGTAGTCTGGTATGCATATCCCATGCGTCTCGAATTGTTGGAATCCCTTTCCCAGAACCCCGAGAGACGCAGTCGATATGGATGAAGATCTGGTCTGTAGCGAGGCCAGTGTTTGATCCATGTCCACTGCGTCTTTCTGGTATACCGTCCCACACATCCAGTACGCCGCGCATGCGGATGTAAATCTTGCCCTCGGACCGTTTCTCAAAATTCGCCTCGGATGTATCATCAAAAAGAAGCCGTGGTGCGTCATCTCGGCCTCATTCTGCTGGGAACGCCGCCAGGATCCAGGCGCGTGTCGTAGCGATTCCGAGGCTCATCCCCAGCCCTCGGAGCACGAAGATGCCGATGCCGATGCCGACGCCCTCGGGGCCTCGTGGGAGGGCCCTCGCCGCCGCGGCGGGGGCTCGCCGCGGAGCCCCGGGCAGACCGCTCCCTGGGCGAGGTCAGGGGCGTCGGGGTGTCGGTGTGACTTCTTTCCCCAGGCTCAACGGCGCGGACGGCGACCTCACGATCCCCGTCGTCTGCCCCGCGTGGGGCGCGCGAGCTCCGGCAAGGATGGGCGATCCCAGCGGGCGCTCGACCGCGGGGATCTCGCTCTGGATTCCGCTGTCGATCACGGGCGTCGGACTCGTCGCCACGTCTAGACTTAGATCGGGCCTGTCCCTCTGCAGGAGGAATCTTCAAAAATAGTCAAAAACAATTTGGGGGCGATTTTCCTATTCTTTTTGCAATTTTTTCTTTTTATTAAAGAGCTGGTATGGGTTTTTCCCTCGAAATCCGCCTGTAGGACGACTCAACAGCGTAAGGGTTGGGCACCGTGTCCCCCCCCCCTTCCCCCTCCCTCTCCCTCCCTCCCACCGCCCCCCTCCCCTACGTGATCATGCTGTGACTACACTGCGCGTCAGTGCGCCCTCTGGACTACGCGCTCTGCCTCCTTTTTCCTCGCCCTCTCTCCTGCTTGTCCTCCTTGTGCTCCTCATGCTCCTGTTTCGGGCTGAGGGAAGCCAATGCCGCTCTGCCCGCCCGGCAGAGCTCAGCTGACTGAGTTAGTCGTGGTTCACGACCGACTGCTCGACCTGCTTTTGTTTGTCTTCGTCGTCGTCGTCGCGGCCCACCCCTTGATAATTGAACGCGCTGGCGTGTGCACTGATGTCACGGCTGATGCATAGACACAATGCAGGCACCGCGCCTTGTCATGTGACTGGGAAGATGCGGTACCCGCCCTTTTGAGCCGCCGAGTCCGCTTCCTGGCCTGACTGCCATGGCGCTCGTGGCCGCTGCAATCCGAACCTTGCCTTCTCTCTCTCCTTTGCTCTCCACCTTCTGCTCTCCCCCCTCCCCTTCGAAGAGGTCGTCGAGGCTCCTCGTCCGTCCTCCTGGCGCTTGCCAGACCTGCTGCATGCAGCCGGTTTTGGCCCGCCGCTGGGTCCCACTCGACTCGCGGCCGCCTCTGGCGACGGGAGGCGCCGGGCAGACCAGCTGCACGGAGGAGGAGGAGGAGGAGGCGGAGGAGGAGGAAGAGGAGGAGGAGGAGGAGGAGGAGGAGGAGGAGGAGGAGGAGGAGGAGGAGGAGGAGGAGGAGGCCCAGCCACTGCCCGTCGTGGCGCCGAGGCCACGGGGTGCTCCAGTCCCCAGAGCTGGCGTTCAGCCGCGCCGGCTCCAAGGCTCCCGGGGTGCCAGCTCTGTTTCATCCTCGGGGGTGGACAGAACCCCCAACAGTGACACGTCGATTAGTGAATTGTCCGTTTTCGGTTCTCGAGAGGGCGCCGCGGCCGTTATTTTCCAGGCTCGCCCCCGCCAGATTTGGGCCTCAGGTCGTTTTCACTAAACCACGTTTTACTAAAGGGAGGTCTGTCCATCCCCGACATCCTGCAGTTCGAGATCTTCGATATCTTGGTAGTTGCAATGCGGGGTCCACGGAAGCCCCGACCCTTTCCCCGGGGCCGGTTGTGCATCCCGAGTCGTTCCTGGACGACCCTGGGGTCGGGCGAGGGCCACCAGAGTGCGACAACGGCCACAAACCTTCCGTGACGACTCTTTCACGACGCGAAGCATGTCTGGCCGTTTTGCAGAGGGAGGCGGTCGACGATGGTGAAGAAAGGACTCAGCCCATACGCTGGCTGCCCGACTGCTGGCCTCTCCAATCGGCGCCACTCAAACATACTAATACTATGGGCGCGTCGGCCCCGCGAGGGCGCCGCGCACGCTCAGAGATCTTGCAGCAGGAGCTCCCTGGCGGGCGCTTTCTGGCCGTGCCGCTCGGGAAACGATGCACCACCAGATTTGCGTACCGATGTTCGTGTCGGACGTGCTCATCCTCCTGCTCATCCGTCATCTCCGCCACCTCCTCCAAGATGTGCACGGCTCCCTTTCCCGCTCGGGCACGGCGCGATGGGGTCATGTCTGGGGCTCAGGATTTGCTGAGACACCGGAGGAGGAGGAGGAGGAGGAGGAGGAGGAGGAGGAGGAGGAGGAGGAGGAGGAGAAGGAGGACCAGTGGAAACCCAAGAGTCATCAACGATGTTGGAGTTCATCCTCCCTCCAAGCTCCCTCTTCATAGGCCCCTACAACGGTTCATTTCCATTGAGGGAACAGCCTCGTTGGAAGACAACAGCATGAAGATCCTGAATCGTGCCAAAACATTGTTCTCGGGATTTCAACGCCACGTATCAACATGACTGCTGCGTCTTGACGATCCAGAATCGTGCTAGAACGACATTTTTGGGATTTCAACACAGCGAATCAACATAACTGTTGCGCCCGCATAATCCCGAATCCTTCCAAAACGCAATTTCTGGTACGTTGATCATGGGAATCCGTGAAATTCTTGCACAGTCTTAAAACGAATGTGCGCGGCGCTCAGGCGAGAGCCATATTTTGAAAAGGAACCGCCCTCAATCTGTCAAGCCCTTGCAACTTTTTAAAACGAATGTGCGGGGCGCTGAGGCGAGAGCCACATTTTGGAAAGGAACCGCCCTCAATCCGTGAAGATCTTTATGCTTTTACAACGAATGTGCGCGGCGCTAAGGCGACAGCCACATTTTGAAAACGACCCGCCCTCAATCCGTGAAACTCCTGCAATTTTATACGACGAATATGCGTGGCGCTAAGGCGAGAGCCACATTTTGAAAAGGAACCGCCCTCAATCTGTAATGCTCTTGCATTTTTCAAGAATGTGCGCGGCGCTAAGGCGAGAGCCACATGTTGAAAGCGACCCGCCCTCCATCCGTGAAGCTGTTGCCACTTTTTACGCTCCAGAGTCATAAGTGGTGAAGAAGTCTCAGGCGAAACGCCTGGCCCGCCCTAAATTCTGGCCTGGGGGTGCGAAAGGGAGGAGTTATCAAAAAGGAGAGGGAATGGAGGAGGAGGAGGAGGAGGAGGAGGAGGGATTGAGAAGGAGAGGAAAGCGAGAGAGGAGGAGGAAGTGAGGGAGGAGAGGAGGCGGGAGGAGGGAGGAGGGGGGGAGTGGCTGAGGAAGGAGGAGGAGGAGGAGGTGAGGATGAGGAGGAGTTAAAGGTAGTAGAATGGAGCATGAGTGCAAGGAGAGAGAAGAGGGGAGGGAGAGGAGGAGGATGGAGGAGGAGGAAGGAGAGGAGGTGAGAGGGGGCGGAGGAGGAAGTGAGGAAGGGGGAGGAGGAGGGGGAGGAGGAGAGTAGGAGTAGGATGGGGGAGGAGGAGGAGCAGGAGGAGGATCAGGAGGAAGGAGAGGTAAAGGAGGAGGTAAGGGAGGGGATGGAGGAGGAACGTAGGAGGAGAGGAGGAGGAGGCGGAGGAGAGGGTGGAGGGAAGGGAGGAAGAGCAGAGAGGCGGAGGAGGAGGAGGAGGTAAGGAGGAGGGACGAGAGGAGCTGAGGGATAGGAGTGGAGGAGGAGGAGGAGGAGGAAGGAGGAAAAAGGAGGAGGATGGAGGAAACATGCATATGTAGGAGGAGGAGGAGGAGGAGGGGAGAGAGGGGAGGGGAGGGAGGAGGAGAGGTAGGAGGAGGGATGAGGGAGCAGGGGTGATAAGAGGCAGGAGAGAAGGAGGGAGTAGGAGGAGGAGGAAGGGAGGGATGAAGGGTAGGGTAGGGCAGGAGGAGTGAGGAGTAAGGAGGATGAGGAGAGGTAGCCAGGAGGAGGAGCAAGGAGAGGGGAGGGAAGAGAAAAGGGAGGAGGAAGAGGAGGGAAGGAGCGAGGAGGGAGGAGGAGAGGAGAAGGAGGGGAGCAGGGACGAAGAGGGGAAGGAGGAGAGAGAGGAGGAGGAGGAGGAGGGGAGGATAGAGGGGAGGAGGAGAGGAGGAGGGAGGAGGGGAGGGAGGAGGAGGAGGAGGAGGAGGAGGAGGAGGAGGAGGAGGAGGGGGAGGAGGAGGAGGAGGAGGGGAGGTATCCACTAAAAGATACGGCACGAGCGCACCAGTCTGGCGGCCCCGGACGCTGCTCCAGTCTCGCAGCGGGGCGCTGCACGCCGGCACTCTTCCTCTTGCCCGTGAGAAGAAAAACTTCTCAGAAGGCGCGGGGGCTTCTGAGAAGTCCCGCCGCCTTCCGAGAAGGCCTTCTCCTTCTCGCTTCCCCCCTTCGCTCGCCGCCGATCTAGGGCCCGCGCACCAAAAAAATTGGAGCAGCCGGGGGTCTGGGCTCCCCTTGGCATCGCTCGGACGTGTGCATTTTCCCTTCGGCGAGGACCATCGAGGAGCATCCTTGATCACTTGGCGAAAAAGCCACGCGCGAAGCCGCAAGAAGCACAGGGAGTGGACGTCCGAGCGATGGCCAGTCCCCGATCTCCGACGGCACGGCTCTCTTGCAGCCAGCGGCCTCTGGGGGCCCGTGTCGGGGCCTCGGGGCAGTCCAAAGTGGACCCGCGTGGCGAAGGCTATGCCCTCGGTCGGGGGCAGCGGCCCGGACCTCCTTCATGGGGCCGCGGGTTCCAATACGTCGTGCCAGTGGCTGTCTTCGTTGGCCCTCCCTGCCATCCGCCGAGCCGCCTGGCTCCATCCGCGGCGCCATAGGGGTCCTGACTTCCTCTTGTCCGGGGCCAGCTCTCCGCCCCGGACTCAGTTTTGATGCCCCCATGGGGGCCCGAGAGCGGGCCCCGGAGGCCCACATCGCAGAAACAGCAGCCAGCTCCACAACACCGCATCGTCTAAGATGTAACTCTGGGGAGGTTACATTCAGGACCAGCGCTGGTATATCCCTGTTCGACAAATGGCCCAGTCTGGCTTACTCCGGTTTCATCCTGCTCAATCTTGCGCAATCCCGCCCAATCTTGGCTTAGTCCCGTTGAGCCCGGCTTCATTCTCTTGCACAGCTGTGTTCTGGAGCTCGGACCTTTTTATCTTCGTCACTCGTTCGTGGCCTGCCCCCCCCCTCTCTCCCCTCGCCTAATTGCCCCTGGCCCTGGTCCCAGCCCCCTCGCCTACCCCTGGCCCAGCCCCGTCCCAGCCCCCCTCGCCTGCCCCTGGGCCAGCTCCCTCGCCGCCCCCTGGCCCTCGCTCCGCCCCCTCGCCCCCCCATGACCCTGGAGCCCTTCCTCTCCCGCCGTGCGTTCGCTCGTGGCCTGCCCCCCTCCCCGGCCTGCCCCTGGCCCTCGGTCGCCCCCCCTGGCCCCGGAGCCCTGGCTTCTCGCATCGCTCGCTCGCTCGTGGCCCGCCCCCTCCCCCCTCCCCTGCGCCCCTCCCTGAGATCTGGCCTCTCCTCCTCCTCCTCCTCCTCCTCCCCCTGTCTCCTCCTCCTCCTCCTCCTCCTTCCTCCTCCTCCGCCTCCTCCTCCTCCTCCTCCTCCTCCTCTTCCTCCCTCCTCCTCCTCCTCCTCCTCCTCCTCCTTTTCCTCCTCCTCCTCCTCCTCCTCCTCCTCCTCCTCCTCCCTGGGATCCGAGATCAGGCGTCGCGCGCCGGGCGTCTGCTCCTGGCCGTGGGCTCCCGGGGCCCTCGCCGCAGGCCCCTCTCGCTGCCCCCCGGCCCCGCAGCTTCGTGGCCCCTCCGCTCCCGGCAGCTGCAGGGCGCATGGCCTACCTCCTGGCCCTGCCCTTCAGTCGGGCACGTCCCTACCTCCTGGCCCTGCCCTTCAGAGGATTGCTCAGACATGGTGAATCATTTTGTTGTTGTTGTTGTTGTTGTTGTTGTTGTTGTTGTTGTTGTTGTTGTTGTCGTCGTCGTCGTCGTCGTCGTCGTCGTCGTCGTCGTCGTCGTCGTTGTTGTTGTTGTTGTTGTTGTTGTTGTTGTTGTTGTTGTTGTTGTTGTTGTTGTTGTTGTTGTTGTTGTGTTATTTTTTTGGTTGTTGTTGCTGCTGCTGCTGTTGTTGTTGTTGTGGTTGTTATTGCTGTTTTGGTTGTTCTTGTTGTTGCTGCTATTGTTGTTGTTGCTGCTGCTGTTTTTGTTGTTCTTGTTGTTGCGGTTGTTGTTGTTGTTGCTGCTGTTGTTGTCGTCGTTGTTGTTGCTGTATTTGTTGTTATTGTGGTTGTTCTTTTTGCTGCTGCTGTTGTTGTTGTTGTTCCTGCCGCTGTTTTTGTTGCTGTTGTTGTTGTTGTTGCTGTTGTTGTTGTTGCTGTTGTTGTTGTGGTTGTTGTTCTTGTTGCTGCTGCTGTTGTTGTTGTTGTTGTTGCCTTCGTTGTTATTATTGTTGTGGTTGTTGTTGTTGTTGCTGCTGCTATTGTTGTTGTTGTCGTTGTTGTTGTTGTTGTTGTCGTCGTC